GCAGCACTGGTTGGGACTGGGGCCGAGGCAGGTAGATCACTTGGTTTGTCAGGTGTTGTGAGACCCCAGCGGCTGGGCGATTACAGGCGTGAGCCACCACGCCCGGTCTCGTCTTCCCATCTTGTTCAGAGGATTACTGGTAGGGTAATGAAAATCGAAAAGCTTTAGTCATCTGAACAGGTAACCTTAACTTGTTCTGTTTTATCAAAAATATAATTTAAATCCAACTGTCCTTTTACACACCCATGAATTTATATTATTATGTTTTACTGTTTTTGTTTTTGCTTTTGTTTTTGTTTTGAGACAGAGTTTTGCTCTTGTTGCCCAGGCTGAAGTGCAATGGTGCAATCTCGGCTCACTGCAACCCCCGCCTCCCGGATTCAAGCAATTCTCCTGCTTCAGCCTCCTGAGTACTGGATTTACAGCGTGCACCACACACCTGGCTAATTTTTGTATTTTAGCAGAGCACAGGGTTTCTCCATGTTGGTCAGGTTGGTCTCGAACTCCTGAACTCAGGTGATCCGCCTACCTTGGCCTCCAAAGTGCTGGATTACGGGCGTGAGCCACTGCGCCTGGTCTACTGTTTTTACTAAAATTCTCAAGCGAAAAGCCACAAGATCTTTGTATTGTCTATGTTTTTATGTCTTTATACCTATATGTGATTTTAATTACAAAGAGCTCTATTTAATTGGCACAAAGATTCAAGCCTGTAATCCCAGCACTTTGGGGAGGCCGAGACGGGCGGATCACAAGGTCAGGAGATCGAGACAATCCTGGCTAACACGGTGAAACCCGTCTCTACTAAAAATTCAAAAAACTAGCCGGGCGAGGTGGCGGGCGCCTGTAGTCCCAGCTACTCGGGAGGCTGAGGCAGGAGAATGGCGTGAACCCGGGAGGCGAGCTTGCAGTGAGCCGAGATCCAGCCACTGCACTCCAGCCTGGGTGACAGAGCAAGACTCCGTCTCAAAAAAAAAAAAAAATGGCACCAAAGAAAAAAAGCACTTAAATTAAGTAATTTAAGAGCATACAGTTATGCTATTTCTTATACTATATTTAAGAATAGTAGGGACAACTACAGTGGCTCACGTCTGTAATCCCCTGAACCTTTGGGAGGCCAATGCAGGAGAATTGTTTGAAGTCGTTTTGATACCAGCCTGGGCAACAAAGTAAGATCTCATCTCTACAAACAACAATAAAAAAGCTGAGTGTCTCTATAAAATAAGATAGATAGACAGAATAATAAAATAAAATAAAAAGAAATCATTCTGCAAACTGATTCATCATATTACTTTACTTTGTATGATTCTTTGAAAACCCTGCACCTGGCCGGCGTGGTGGCTCACGCCTGTAATCCCAGCACTTTGGGAGCCGAGGCTGGCGGATCACGGGGTCAGGGAGATCAAGACTATCCTGGCTAACACAGTGAAACCTCATCTCTACACGCGTCGTGGCGGCACCTGTAATCCCAGCTACTCGGAAGCTGAAGGCGGAAGAATGGAGTGAACCCGGGAGGTGGAGCTTGCAGTGAGCCGAGATCACACCACTGCACTCCAGCCTGGGCGACAGAGCAAGACTCCACCTCAAAAAACAAAAACAAAAACAAAAAAACCTGCACCTGTCCAACCTCTGCAAAAGTACAACTGCTAACCAATAATGTGGGTGCAGCACTTTGATATGATAGCGAACACCTATGAGACTGATACAATGAAAGGCTGACTTAACCCAACAGCTACTCCTTCCAAATTTCCTTCCAGCTGCTCAAATGTGGCTCAAATGGTTTTGACACTGACTTAAAATTGCTGGCCATTCTCCCAACATGGCACCAAATCAACCTGGACAAGAAGGGACAATCAAAACCTACACAGGATAATTGATCAGTGACGTCTTCAGAAAATTTTTTTTTTTTTTGAGACTGAGTCTCTCTTGGTCACCCAGGCTGGAGTGCAATGGCACAATCTTGGCTCACTGCAACCTCCGCTTCCCAGGTTCAAGTGATTCCCCTGCCTCAGTTTCCCAAGTAGCTGCATTACAGATGGTTGCCACTACGCACAGTTAATTTATGTATTTTTAGTAGAGATGGGGTTTCACCATGTTGGCCAGGCTGGTCTCCAACTCCTGACCTCAGGTGATCCGCCCACCTCAGCCTCCCAAAATGCCGGGATTACAGGCATGAGTCACCGCACCTGGCCTCAGAGAAAGATCTTCATCAAAAGGAGGAAATATAAAAATTGCAATAAACCCCTTCCTTCTTTAACTAGGTGTCTGAGGAGTTTTGTCTGCGGCTCGTCCTGCTACAGTTTGTAACTTCAGATTTTTTCTGACAAGTTTTGATCCACGGTTTTTTAAAAAAGATTTGTCAATTTCCCAGGGAGATGGAGCTTGCAGTGAGCCGAGATCGCACCACTGCACTCCAGCCTGGGCGACAGAGTGAGACTCCATCTCAAAAAAAAAAAAGGTTTGTCAATTTCAAAATATGTGTTTGGTCCTGCTTCCTGTTCTTTCTCTCTCTTTTTTTTTTTTTTTTTTTTTGAGACAAGGTCTCACTCTGTCACCCAGGCCAGAGTCTAGTGGTGGGATCACAGATCACTGCAGGATCCAACTCCCAGACTCAACAGATCCTCCCACCTCAGCCACCGACCCCATAGCTGGGACTACAGGTGGATATCATCTCACTTAGCTAATTTTTAAAGTTTTTTTTGTTGAAATGGGCCTCACTGAGGCCTCACTGGGCCTCAGCCCAGGTTGAGTCTTCTTCCTCCACTTCCTTTTTTTTTTTCTGAGACAGTGTCTCACTCTGTCACCCAGGCTGGAGTGCAGTGGTGCCATAGTGGCTCACTGCAAGCTCCACCTCCCTGGTTAACGCCATTCTCCTGCCTCAGCCTCCCCAGTGGCTGGGACTACAGGCGCCCGCCACTACGCCCGGCTAATTTTTTGTATTTTTAGTAGAGACGAGGTGTCACCTTGTTAGCCAGGATGATCTCGATCTCCTGACCTCGTGATCCGCCCGCCTCGGCCTCCCAAAGTGCTGGGATTACAGGCGTGAGCCACCGCGCCCGGCCCTCTTCCTTTTTTTTTTTTACGTTTTGTTTGCCTAGAATTGTATTTGATTGTAATCAAATCATGTGTCATATCTGTTTTTCAATTTGTATGATTATTTTGTGGCCCAATACATGATTGTTTTTTGCGAATATTTCATGGGCTTAAATAGACAAGAAATTCTCTCTCTACACATAATGAAATGGAGTGTGTGCTTTGCATTATTCAATTCCTTTATTCCCATCCTTGCTTTTGTCTGCACATTTGCCTAGTTCTAGAATGGGTATACTGAAGCTTGGGTAAGGGTGAGGTCAGCGTTCTAGGGGGCTCAGCCCACTGTCCCACCCGTGCCACAGAATCCACGGAGAGGCCCAGCGGCCGCACTGGGTCGGGGCGAGGGGGGAGGCGGAGCCAGGTTGGGGCGGGTAGGCAGTCAGTGCGGTTGCCAGGAAGCGGGAAAGGGCCACAATGGGGTCTGGGAGGTGGGCGGGGCGGAGCGGGGGTGTCCAGCCACGTCGCTTTGTTTTCCCATAACAGGAGCCACAACAGGTCAGTGCACCTCGGGGCCTCCCCTCGGGGCACCGGGTCCCCCACACCAGGCCCTCCCCGGGGCACCCTTTCCCAACACCACGAAAATCTCCTGCCCCCACCCCGCCCCCAGGTGATTCCCTTCACCAAGTCTGGGTCTAAACTTGGCCCCCGCGAGCTCACGTCCCTACCTAACCCGCCTGGAGTCCGGGTGATGGTCCTGGACCCGCTGCCGGCCCCACGCCACACACAGCCGGGCGGGAAGCTCGCGTTTGTTTTGCTGGCGCCAGGGATACGGACCAGGCACCGCCCCGCCGCGCGCTAATCCCAGGGTAGTGGGAAAGTGCGCTCCCCAAGAATTTGGGGTGGAGGGGCCGCGGCCACCGCCTTCTGTCCGCAGGTGCTGCGAGCCGTAAGCGCCCCCCACCCGCGCTATGGGCTCGGACGCCTGGGTGGGCGTTTGGCGGCCACACCGGCCCCGCGGCCCCATCGCAGCGCACTACGGAGGCCCCGGGCCCAAATACAAGCTGCCGCCCAACACCGGTAGCAGGGGCGGGCCCCGGGATTGAGGGGTGGGACGGTGCCTGGGGGAGGGAAGGGGAAGAGACCAGGGAGGTCTGCGCTCGGGGCTGAACCGAGCCTGCTAGAGGGAGAGGGGGTCTGTGCCGGGGGAGGGTCCGTGTTCCAGACGGGGGTGGGGGCTGGGCCCGGCCAGGCGCTGACTCGGATGCTCCCAGGCTACGTCCTGCATGACCCGTCGCGGCCCCGCGCCCCCGCCTTCACCTTCGGCGCGCGCCTCCCCACGCAGCAGACGACGTGCGGCCCCGGGCCCGGCCACCTGGTGCCCGCCCGCATGACCGTGCGCGGCCCCGACGGCGCCCCCGCCTACTCCATCTACGGCCGCCCGCGCCGCTCAGCGCCCTTCCTCACTCCGGGACCTGGTCAGGACCCCCGGGACCCTGGCCACCCAACGCCGAACTGCCTCCAGGGAGGCCCACCTGGGAACCCCCCACCTGAACCCCGAGTCCCACTCAGATACCCTAACACCGCATAGTCGGAACCTTCATATCCGGGTCTCAAATCCCAAACCCCGAACCCCACGGGGCTTTGACAAATCGTGGCTCAGATTACCCCCTAGTCCCAGGACGCCATCTCGGGTACCCACCAGGCCCCCACCCAGTTCCAGACCCCCACACCCTTGATCCGCCCCGCAGGCAGGTACTTCCCGGAGCGAGCGGGGAACGCGACGTACCCCAGTGCGCCTCGGCACACCATTGCTCCCCGAAACTGGGGTGTCCAGGCGGAGCAGCAGAGCCCAGGTGAGGGCAGAAAGGCCCATCCCAGCACTGTGGGCCTTCCTACTCCAAACCGGGGACCGCCCTCCGGGAGCTGGGACCACCCTGCGCCCGTCCACGGAGACCCACTACCCCCGAGCCCTGCCTCCTCCCCAGGTCCCGGGGCCTATACTGTGCCCTCGCTCTTGGGTCCACGCGTCATCGGCAAAGTCTCCGCCCCAACTTACTCCATCTACGGCCGCAGAGCGGCGGGCAGTTTCTTCGAGGACCTCAGCAAGGTGGGGGAGGGGCCGGGGCGGACGCAGGGGTCCCTGGTCCGCGGCAGCGGAGGCGGCAGTCAGCACCCTCTGCCCTCCCGCAGACCCCAGGCCCATGCGCCTACCACGTCGTGAGCCCGGGGGTCTACAAGTCCCGGGCCCCGCAGTTCACCATGCTGGCGCGGACTTCGCTCCCCCAAGACAACACTCAGAAGCCAGGGCCCGCGGCCTACAACGTGGATCAGGTGGCCTGGAGTCCAGGGTCAAGGGTCAGAGTCAGGGGAGTGGGGAGGGCCTGAGGTCGGAGTGATGGGATCAGGGTCCCCGGGGATCCAGGGGTCCCGGCGCGGAGAGGACGCCGGCCCCGCGAGGTCAGTGGTGTCTCCGGGCCCGCAGCACCGGAAGCCCCGCGGCTGGAGCTTCGGGATCCGACACTCGGACTACCTGGCCCCGCTGGTGACCCACGCGGACACCTGACCTGGCAGGCGGGAGCGGCCCCACACTTGTTTGCTTAAAGTCTGCGAGTCCGCTTCGTGTCCGCCTCTCTCTCTCTCTGCGCGTCCTGGGGCAAGGCCAGGGGCGGAGCCGGGGCTGGGGCCGTGTCCCGACTCAGAACGCAGCGGGGCGGGGCCGGGACTCCAGCGCTGCGCCGCGTCCGAACGTCGAGACCCCACCGAGGGCGGGAAGGGGACTCTCGGGAGCCGCAGACGCCCGAGGCCCACGCCGCGCGGGACCGGCCAGTGGTCACTCCCGCCGACGGCCCCGGGCCCCGACGGCCCGGAAGTCCCGCGTGTCCGGGGGCACCGGGGGATCGGCAGGGGGGCGGCGCGCGAGGCTCCCCCGGGGCGGTGACTGCTGAGCCCCGCCCGCCAGGCGGCCCCACCCGCCTGCTGTCCTGGGGCGCCGCCGCCCCGCCGCCCGCAGTGGACCGCTGTGCGCGAACCCTACGGTCGCCACCCGAGGCCGAGGCCGGGTACCTGGGCTGGGATCTGGAGCAGGCGGGCGAGGGCAGCCGCCCTGAGCAGGTACGGGCGGGAAGCGGGAGCCAGATACGGACAAGGGCGACACAGACACGGGACCGAGGGGCGGACACCGGAGAGACACGGGAAAGGGGTCGGGACAGGAGCACGTGGCTCAGACACCGACGCCAGGAGGCCGCAGACCCCGGACGTGTCAGGCATCCCCGCAGGCCCAGAGCGATGGCGGCCTCGATGACGGTGGGAACCGGAGCCCCACCCGCGCCTGGTGACCTCTCCGGGGAAGGGAGCCAGGGACTTCTCGACCCCTCGCCAGAGCCCAAGCAGCTCCCGGAGCTGATCCGCATGAAGCGAGACGGAGGCCGCTTGAGCAAAGCGGACATCAGGGGCTTCGTGGCCGCTGTGGTGAACGGGAGTGCGCAGGGCGCACAGATCGGTGCGTGGGGAGGGTTGGGCGTTCCTGACCCCGACCGGGAGGTCAGCCCAAGAGACTATGGGTCCCTGGGGGTGCGACAGCGCCCTACTACCAGCATCTGCCCCAGGGTGCCCCACTGCTGTGGGCTGCCACCCTCACGGGTACCCCCACATACCAGGGGCCATGCTGATGGCGATCCGACTTCAGGGCATGGATCTGGAGGAGACCTCGGTGCTGACCCAGGCCCTGGCCCAGTCGGGGCAGCAGCTGGAGTGGCCAGAGGCCTGGCACCAGCAGCTTGTGGACAAGCATTCCACAGGGGGTGTAGGCGACAAGGTCAGCCTGGTCCTCGCACCTGCCCTGGCGGCATGTGGCTGCAAGGTTAGAAACCACCCTCCTTCCCAGATGGGAGCCTGTGACCCCACATGCAGCTCCCAACCTCAGGCTTGGCCCAAAGCCCCCAAGACAGTACCCAGGTTTCTCCCCACCCCGTTCCCCAGCACAGAGCTTGGGGCCCCTCCGGCTCCAGACCAGGCCCCCTGGAGCAGGAAAAAGATCCACTGATGGAATTCAGACCCCTTTCCCTTTGGGTCCCCAGCAGCTTCCCCAAGGGAAGAGCTGAGGTCCTCTCTCCCTCTGCCCCAAGCCTTGTTTCCCCCGGGGACGGGTACCAACCTTCTCCCCTACTGACACTTCTCAACCGAGAAAACTTCCTTTCCATTCCCTCACCAGCTGGGTGCCCCTATAGCTGTTTAAATACTTTCTAAATCCAGCTGAGGTCCTAGCCAGGGAAGGTGAAGGGATACATGGAGGTGGGGGGAGAGGTACTGTGCAGGGTACTCAGCATCCCTGACCACCAGGTGCCAATGATCAGCGGACGTGGTCTGGGGCACACAGGAGGCACCTTGGATAAGCTGGAGTCTATTCCTGGATTTAATGTCACCCAGAGCCCAGAGCAGGTACGGGGGTGGGGCATGGATCAGTCATTGATCCAGGTTGATGATGGAGACCCTGGCCAGAATCACTAAAGGATCACTGGTGGATCATTAGGATCACTAATAAGGACATTGGTCAAGGTTACTTATGGGCCTGGGCCAAAATAATCAGTGGAACTTCAATCAGGATCATAAAATGGGGAGTTGGTCAAAATTATAGATGGCTGGTGGGGCACGATGGCTCATACCTGTAGTCCCAGCAGTTGGGGAGGCTGAGGAGGGCAGATCCCTCGAACCCAGGCGTTCAAAACCAGCCTGGATAACATGGCGAAACCCCGTCTCTACAAAATAAAAAAATTAGCCGCGTGTAGTGGTGCGCACCTGTGGTTCCAGCAACTCAGGAGGCTGAGGCAGGAGGATGAGGTTTAGGCTGCAGTGAGCCGTGATGATGCCACTGCACTCCAGCCTGGGCAACAGAGTGAGACCCTGTCCCAGCACTCTGGGAGGCAGAGGGAGGATCGCTTGGGCCCAGTTGGAGACCAGCCTGGGTAATATAGTGAAAACTTCATCTTTAAAAAAAAAAAAGAAGAAGAAAAAATAAAATAAAGCCCAATGTGGTGGTATGCACCTGCAGTCCCAGCTACTGGGAAGCTGAGGTGGGAGGATCACTCAAGCCCAGGAGGCAAAGGTCTCAATGAGCCGAAATTGTGCCAACTGCACTCCAGCCTGGGCAACAGAGCAACACTCTGTCTTAGGGAAAAAAAAAAAGGCTCTGGGCCATTTGCCAGAAGTCACTGAGGATAGGGGATGTTTGACCAGATGCAAGCGCTGCTGGAGCAGGCGGGCTGCTGTATCGTGGGTCAGAGTGAGCAGCTGGTCCCTGCAGACGGAATCCTATATGCAGCCAGAGATGTGACAGCCACCGTGGACAGCCTGCCACTCATCACAGGTGACCTGACTCCACGGCCTGCTTCTGCATGTTACAGGCCCCTGACCTCCAAACTCGTCAGGGTCCTCTTGTTAGGAGTTATGTGTCACCTGACCATGTGCCCCCCTACCCCCATCACAAGATGCCTGACCACCACCATGTGAGGTGGCCTGATACACAACCCACCAGGTGCTGCCACCCCCATAAGGGACTTGACCCTCAATGCTCAGGGCCCCTGACCCCAAAGTCGGCATCCCCCAAGTCTCCCAAGAAGCTCCAGGTTCTCCATTGTCTCCAACCTCCTCTGCCTCCAAAGCCTCCATCCTCAGTAAGAAGCTCGTGGAGGGGCTGTCTGCTCTGGTGATCGACGTTAAGTTTGGAGAGGCCGCCGTCTTCCCCAACCAGGAGCAGGCCCGGGAGCTGGCAAGGACGCTGGTGAGCGGTGTGGCCTCTTCCTGGGGAAGCGTCCTCATGCGGGCCCAGCCTACCCTTCACCCTTCTCGTCCCCACTGCCTCCCTCCACTCAGCAGTCCTGCCTAACCCCAGTCCCACCCTCTTCTGCCTGAAGTCCCTCCCTCCCTCACGGCCCCCCAACCTGCTGTGACTTTAGAGGTCAAGGCTGGCCCAGCCTGGGCCTGGGGAGGCCCTCTGTGGCGTCCCTCTCCTAGGCCAAGTACAAGTTCCTCCTGGCCCCATGGCGAGGTGTGGCACTTCACTCGTTTCTGTTCCCCACCCCAACCCTTCCCTGACTTCATCCTGGCGGGCTGGCAACCCAGGGTGCAGCAGGGGCTGGAGTTCGACAAAGAATGGGCTGCAGGACGCCCCGCCATGTGGGGTCCGCGCTGAGCCTCGTCTGGGTAGGTTGGTGTGGGAGCCAGCCTAGGGCTTCGGGTCGCGGCAGCGCTGACCGCCATGGACAAGCCCCTGGGCCGCTGCGTGGGCAACGCCCTGGAGGTGGAGGAGGCGCTGCTCTGCATGGACGGCGCAGGCCCGCCAGACTTAAGGGACCTGGTCACCACGCTCGGTGAGGGGGACGGGGCGCAGGGGAGCGGCGGAGGGGGGTGCTTCCCGCCGGGGCCGCCCTGGCCGGGCCGCGCCTAAGCCCCGTCCCCGCCCGCAGGGGGCGCCCTGCTCTGGCTCAGCGGACACGCGGGGACTCAGGCCCAGGGCGCTGCCCGGGTGGCTGCGGCGCTGGACGACGGCTCGGCCCTTGGCCGCTTCGAGCGGATGCTGGCGGCGCAGGGCGTGGATCCCGGTCTGGCCCGAGCCCTGTGCTCCGGGAGCCCCGCAGAGCGCCGGCAGCTGCTGCCTCGCGCCCAGGAGCAGGAAGAGCTGCTGGCGCCCGCGGATGGTGAGCGTCGGGGGAGTCCTCGTCATCCCGCCTCCGCCATCTCCTTCCCTTCCCGAGCCCCCGCCCCTTCCCGAGCCCGCGCGTCTCAGCCCCTCTCCCCGCAGGCACCGTGGAGCTGGTCCGGGCGCTGCCGCTGGCGCTGGTGCTGCACGAGCTCGGGGCTGGGCGCAACCGCGCTGGGGAGCCGCTCCGCCTGGGGGTGGGCGCCGAACTGCTGGTCGACGTGGGTCAGAGGCTGCGCCGTGGTGAGCGCCGCCCCCGCCCCGCTGCCCCCGCGCCCCCGCCCCGCCCCGGCCGTGCGGCCTCTGACAGCCCCTGGCTCCGCAGGGACACCCTGGCTCCGCGTGCACCGGGACGGCCCCGCGCTCAGCGGCCCGCAGCGCCGCGCCCTGCAGGAGGCACTCGTACTCTCGGACCGCGCGCCCTTCGCGCCCCCCTCGCCCTTCGCCGAGCTCGTTCTGCCGCCGCAGCAATAAAGCTCCTTTGCCGCGAAACTTTGTCGGTGCTTGGCTCGCCGGGGCGGGAGCGAAAGCATCGGGGCCGCGGGGACGGGGCCGTCTAGGCGAACACGTGACCTGCGGTGGGCTCCGCCTTCAGCGCAAGCGCCGAGAGCGCGTCAGCGGCCGTGCCCGTCTGCGCATGCGCAGCTCCGGGGAACGCCTGCGCCCTGGCTGCGAGCTTGTGGCGCCCACGATACCTGAGCCCGCCAGGAGCCCGCGAGGAGCCCGCGGGGCGGAGCGCAGGGAGCTGGAGGTCGCGCTGCCTCTCGGGGGACTGGTCGACTGACGCGCGGCCCCGCCGCGAGGTGCGGACGCCGGGGCCGGGAGGGAAGGAGGTAGCCCTGGGCACTCGCTGGACTCCAGGGTAGTTTCCCAGCTCCGGCTACTGCGCGGGGCTGGCGGGGGGCACCCCGAGGGCGCGCTGGAGGGAGGAGCGAGGCTGGGGCGCCCGGGGGAGGCTCCCAGCTAGCACCGGTGTTCTCGGTGCGGCCGAGCACAGTTCTAACGCGCTCGCGCGGCTCTTTACGTGGTCCTGGGACCTTTCTGGCCACGAGGGCGCTGGCCTTGGTGGGGAGGGGACAAGCCCAGAACCGCCCGGGCGGAGGGTGCCCTCAGCAGGAGGGGGGGCACTGACGAGGAGTCCTGAGACCTCCACCTAGCAAACCTTCCGGGGGGGGCCATGGGAAAGGCGCAAAGGTCACCAACGCAAAGGCAGAGCGTCGGCTGTGAGCCCGGAGGAGCTGCTGGGAAGCCTGATGTGAGGAGGGTGGGGTTTTGTGGCGGTGGAAGTGTCGTGCGTCTCTGCCGGGAAAGGTTAAATACGGCAGAGGCAGAGTCCGAGCTCCAGGGGGAGGTCGTGCAGGTTTTCTGCTCGGAGTGTGGAGGAGGCCACGGTGGGCTGAAGTGGCCCGAGGTGACAGGAAAGTGCTGGAGGAATCGGTTACTCTAGGGACTGCAAGCCAGAGTTACCCACCTCCTTTTAAGAAATGGGTTTATTGCAAATAGATAACGTGGTTAGCAATCCAGGCAAGGCATGCACTTGGAATGCTTTCAGTCAGCAAGAGGTTCACCTTGCTGAGGTGCAGGGCAAGGTGTGGCGACAGGCTGGTGATCCCAGGTGGAGGACAGGAGTGACAGGTGTGGATGTTTGGAGGTGTTCTGAGCTCAGGTGAGCAGTGACAAACGCCTGTTAAGCCTGAACGTGGGCTGGGTCCTTCGGATGGGTGATTGGTCTCTCCAGTCGCAGGGGCAGCCCAGGCACCATCCTGGGCCTTCCCTTCTGGCTCCTGACACCCGTGCTTGTTTCCAGGAGCATCAGATCCATGCTGCTGCTGACTCGGAGCCCCACAGCTTGGCACAGGCTCTCTCACCTCAAGCCCCCAGTCCTCCCTGGGACCGTGGGAGGCCAGGCCCTGCATCTGAGGTCCTGGTTTTTGTCAAGGCAGGGCCCTGCAGAGACAGGTACGCAGGGCCAGCCTCAGGGCCCTGGGCTTCGAACCAGGCTGTTGATCACAGCCCTGTTTGGAGCTGGACTTGGTGGGGCCTGGCTGGCCCTGAGGGCTGAGAAAGAGAGGCTGCAGCAGCAAAAGCGAATAGAAGCCCTGCGCCAGGCAGCTGTGGGCCAGGGCGACTTCCACCTGCTGGACCACAAAGGCCAGGCTCGCCGCAAGGCTGACTTCCGGGGCCAGTGGGTGCTGATGTACTTTGGCTTCACTCACTGCCCTGACATCTGCCCAGACGAGCTGGAAAAGCTGGTGCAGGTGGTGCGGCAGCTGGAAGCAGAGCCTGGTTTGCCTCCAGTGCAGCCCGTCTTCATTACTGTGGACCCCGAGCGGGACGACGTGGAAGCCATGGCCCGCTACGTCCAGGACTTCCACCCAAGACTGCTGGGTCTGACCGGCTCCACCGAACAGATTGCCCAGGCTACGCACAGTTACCGTGTGTACTACAGTGCCGGCCCCAAGGATGAAGACCAGGACTACATCGTGGACCACTCCATTACCATCTACCTGCTCAACCCTGACGGCCTCTTCACCGATTACTATGGCCGGAGCAGGTCAGCGGAGCAGATCTCAGACAGTGTGCGGCGGCACATGGCGACTTTCCGCAGTGTCCTGTCTTGAGCCGCTGCAGCCTGGGCCCCATCATTAAACAGGATGCGTTTAATCTGTGTGTGTGTGATCCGTACCAGCAGCCCATGGAGGTCAGGCAGCCGTCTTCTCTGCACAGGACAGGTGTACGTAAAAGGGTTTTTGGGGGAAGATGAGATGACAACACTGCTTTATTAGGCCGGGCCAGGCAGGAGCAGATGCACGGCTCCTCAGTACACATCCCCCACCCCTGCCTTGATGCTCCCCACTCAGGGCTGGGCCATGGAGGGGGCAGTGTAGGTCTGGAAGCGCTTGTGGGCTCGCTGGTGTGTGAGCAGTCTCAGGGACATGGTGTCCACGGCCGTCTCCAGCCCAGGCTGCTGGGTGATCTCCACTGTGTAGTCATTGGCCTGCAGGGGTGGGGCATCAGCAGGGTCTGGGAACCGTCTCCCCCTCCCACGCATCCCAGGCTACTCACCAGCTGCAGGGAGGCCAGCATGGAACGACACACCTCGAAGGCCGGCTGGCCAGCCACCAGCTCCGCAAAGGGACACCACTCATTGAGCTGGGGGAACCGCGAGACCACCTGGTCCCCATAGGTGTGGATGTCAAAGGGTACATGCTGCTCCTGCACAGGGGAGGGGCATGTTGGCTGTGGAGAGAGGCAAGGCCTGGGACAGGCCTGCAGCAGACAGCTCTGGTTCCCAGCGACCCCGCCTCACCTGCTCCTGGAGCAGAGGCTGCACTGTGTCCTCCCAGTCCCTGATGCGCTGGCTCAGCTCTGTCTCCTGGACAAACTTCTGGGAGGTGGCGATGAAGAGCTCCTAGGAGAGGATCAGCAGGAGGTACTGCCTCCCAAGCAGGGCCTGGGCGCCTCTCACCTATCCCCCTCCCCTCCCCATCCCTCTCTAACCCAGGCCTACCACATTCCTTCGAACCAGCTCCTCGTAGCTCAGGGACACCGGCACTGTGTCTGGGAAGGGGCAGCTGTGAGCTGGGCAGCTGAGGGGCCATACTCTCCCTTGCCCCCAGTTCCAGTGGCCCCTCAGCACTCCTAGCCCGCTGCCTACCTACCAAGGTCAGCAGCTTCCCTGGGGTCTGCTCCCTCAGGCTCCACATACTCCTCAGGTTCTAGAAAGTCATCTGCTGGGAGGTGGGACAGTGGACAGCACAGAGGCAGCTAGTCAGCTGGCAGCAGGTGCCAAGCCCCGCCCCACCCCCACCGGCAGGCACCCACCTGCTGCCCCCAGGTCTTCCAGAGAATCCTCCAGGTGGTCCTCCTCTGCAGACCACAGCCCCTCCTCGGCCCTCGGCAGCCACTGCTCAGCCACCTGTCCAGAGACAGCATCTGTGAGGGGCACTGTCATCTCCCATCAGGGCCGCCACGGGGTCCTAGATCACAGCTGACCAGTTGGGACTTGCCTCCCTCCTCTGCAGCTTCCGGAGAGTTTCCAACTGCTCCTTCACGTGTGTCCAGTACAGGACCTCCATGTCTGCAGACAAAGACCCTGTGAAGGCTCCCTTGTCCTTCCCAGGCCCTGTGCCAGTCCACCCAAGGCTTTGGTGACACCAGGTGGGGCTAGAGGTAGGGGAAGGGGAGTAAAACTGTCTTCCCTGAGGACTTCAGCCTCACCTGCAAAGGACGGACCCTTTCGCCGAGGCCTCCGGCTGTCAGCATGGTCAGCATCTGTGAGAGAACATGGTCAGTACCAACCAGGCCAAGAGCTGCCCATGGCCGTGGGGAAAGGGCGTTGATCCTCCTCCACTGGCCCTGGCCCAGCCCCCAGCTCCCAGGGGTCCGGAGTGCGTAGCACACCCACTCACAGGCAGCCAGGTACCACTGGTGGAAGTCCTGCAGCTTGGCAGCACCCTTCCTCTTGCGCTTCTGTCCCGGAGCCTCCTCCACACAGTGGGGCACAGAGTAAGGCCTACCTAGAGGCAAACGGGGACTGTCTTAGAGCTGCTGGGCAGTCAGGGTGCAAAGCCCTCTCCCACCCCCCTACCTCATGCCCCAGCAGACCCAGCCAGGAGTACCTGAGCGGAGGCATCTTCCACCCAATTACCTTTCTTGAAGGGCTTAGACTCCAGGGAGTCAAAGGGGTCCAGGCTCTGCCAGGGCTCTGGAGTCTCCTGGGCACAGAGCACAAGAAGGCGCTGGAGGAGTAGGGGGTGCACAGCCGCCCTCCCAAAGGAGTAGGGGGTGCACAGCCACCCTCCCAAAGGAGTAGAGGGTGCACAGCCGCCCTCCCAAAGGAGTAGGGGGTGCACAGCTGCCCTCCCAAAGGAGTAGAGGGTGCACAGCCGCCCTCCCAAAGCCCAGGCAACAAGTGCGGTGACAGCCTGGGACAGAGCCGACCACACTCAAATCCTGGATCACAGAGGGGAACACTCGAGGGAGGGTGGGGGCCCAGAGTCGCATGAGGGGGTCTCTAAGAGAGCAAGTGCAAAGGGCCACAGGCTGAGAACACCGCAGGAGCAAGAGCATGATGGGCAGGCAGCCAGTCCTCGAATCTGCCCGTCCCTCCCTGCCAGGGTCAGGGCCCCAACGCTCCTACCTTCACGCAGGATGCAGGCTCTGGGGCCCCCTCTCGCTCCCGCAGCATGTACCTCCTGGGCAGGGCAGCACTCTGCAAAGACAGTCACAGGGTCTCCACTTCTCCCCTTTCTCCACTCAAGGCTCTGGGTACCCCAGGAACTCCACCTTGGGTCAACATCAAGAACTCTACAAGGGCCAGGCACGGTGGCTCATGCCTGTAATCGAAGCGCTTTGGGAGGCCAAGGTGGGTAGATCACCTGAGGTCAAGAGTTTGAGACCAGCCTGGCCAACACGGTGAAACCCCGCCTCTACTAAAAATACAAAAAAAATTAGCCGGGCGTGGTGGCGCACACCTGTAATCCCACCTACTCAGGAGGCTGAGGCAGGAGAATCGCTTGAACCCAGGAGGCAGAGGTTGCAGCGAGCCAAGATCACGCCACTGCACTCCAGCCTGGGCAAAAGAACAAGACTCTGTCTAAAAAAAAAGAAAAATCCTACAGGGGCCAGACACAGTGGCTCACGCCCGTAATCCCAGTGCTTTGGGAGGCCAAGGCAGGCAGATCGTTTGAGCAAGGAGTTCCAGACCAGCCTGGGCAACGTAGTGAGACCCCGTCTCTACAAAAAATACGAAAATTAGCCGGGCGTGGTGGCACGCACCTATAGTCCCAGCTACTCGGGAGGCTGAGGTGGAAGGATCACCTGAGCCTAGAGAGGGTCAAGGCTGCAGTGAGCCAAGATCAGGCCACTGCACTCTACCCTGGGCAACAGAGCAAGACCCTGTCTCAAAAACAAACAAACAAAAAAACCCTGCTAGTACTCTCTGGGGGCATTAAAACAAAAACCCGAAGAAAAACTTTAAAACACAAACAGTGGGCCGGACGCCGTGGCTCATGCCTGTAATCCCAGCACTTTGGGAGGCCAAGGTGGGTGGATGCCGGGCATGGTGGCAGGCGACTGTAGACCCAGCTACTCGGGAGGCTGAGGCAGGAATGGCGTGAACCCAGGAGGCGGAGCTTGTAGTGAGCCAAGATCGCACCACAGAACTCCAGCCTGGGCGACAGAGCGAGACTCTGTCTCGCAAAAAAAAAAAAAAAAAAAACAACACAAACAGTGGTCACGGGGTACTCTTCTTCAAAACTAAGAAAAACGAATAGAATATGACAAATACCCATGTCATCGACCAACCAGAGTGAAGAAACATTAACATTTCCTCTGTATGCATCGGGTTGATTTTCTGCTTTAATAAATAAAAAGGATTTCTTGGCTCTAGGCTGCGTATAGTTGACCCTGGGGGTTGAGGGAGGCAGCAATGGCCTCCAGACACCCCCTCCTACCAGCCCAACTGCAGAAGAGGCGCCTCGGCGACCAGCGGCCATCCCAGGTAGCTGTGAGCTCGGCAGGGCCCAAACCCTTGGACGCCAGCCCACTACTCTGAAGATCATCAGTTCTGTCCAGAGAGGGGAGGAACACGGAAGCTGCCGTTCCAAAGGGCTGGCTGCAGGACGGGCTGCAAGACGGATGGGCTTCTGCCCCAGACCAATGGCCTGGGGCCAAGGCCATAGCACTGCCCTCCTTGTGCAAGCTGACTCAGCCCCAGAGCCAGGGTTGCCCAGTTCACAGCTCAGGCTCTGCAGGCCTCCATGTGGGTCCCACCTGCTGCGGGCTCCTGGGCTCCTCGGGCTCCAGAGTGGCCTTGGGGGCCGAGGCCTCAGGAAGGTCTACTGCCTCCTCTGCATCCTCGTCCTCACCCCCGCCCAGGGGCGTCGGGCCTTCTGGAGAGGGGCCTGGACAGGGAGCAAGAGAGTGATCAGCTCCAAGGAATGTCGAGACCAGACGGCACCAGAGGGACCCTGACGGCTACTTCCTCCCTCAGCTTTAGTCACGGAACCCAGAGGATTCAGCAGGTGCCTTGCACCCTCCTCGTCATGCTAGTGTGCTGTGCTCTGTTTGGTTCATTTTATTTCTTGGCAAATGTTCCTCTTTAAATGCAGCCATCCACATCTGCCCAGAGAGGACACCCAGGAAGGCAGAGGGCAGTCAGTGAACCAAGACGGGCTGAGGCTTAGGTAAGGCCAGGGGCTGTGGCTGCTTCCCCGGGGCGAGGCCTCATTCCCGTGGGCCATGGAAGGGGTGTGAGGCTGGCAGCTGACAGCAGCGCCTTGGACCCCTGTCCACTGAGAGCTGCCTCCCTGGTCCCCTCTTTGGCGGCCACGCCAGTCCCACCAGGGAGCTTTCTTCTCACCTGGGTCCTGGGAGATGCCAGGTGCTGGGACAGGGCTCCTGCACACGGAAACTTCCATTGGTTGCTCCTCAGTCCTCCCGGCATCTGGGAGACAGGGATTGGACAAGGTCAGCCCAGCCCCTCTCCAAGATGGTCCCTGCCTGGTGTTCAACAAGCCCCTCCAAGGGGCCAGCAGAAGAGCAGAGTCCAGCAGACTCCAGGCCTTGGGCTGGGGGAACACAACAGGGCCCTGAGCCAGGCACCAGGCACCAGGTCCCTGGCACTGAGACCACGTTAACTTGTAATCAAGGCACAGCAGACGGGTGGGATGAGCACCAGCCAACCTGTCTAGACTGGAGCGGGCACCCAGAGAGAGGGAGCTCCCAAGACCAGAGGTGGCAAGCACAGGGCACCCCACAAGAGTCCACCCAGAAGACCCTCCCTCCCTTCCTTCCCACCAAGCCCCCGCATCCAAGCACTCACCCTTCTGGGTCCTTGGCATGGAAGCGCCTGCTGGCTCCACGGGGGACATGCCCTCTGGCTCCAACATGAAAGCCCCTCTGGGGTGGGGAACGCACGTGTTCATCCTGAAATCCTTCCGGCTGGCCAGGACCTCACCCTGACGGCTGTGCTGGCGAAAACACGCCTGCTGTAGAGACCCGTCCCAGGCAGGCCTCCCTCGCCGCCGCTGGGCTCAGATCCCTACCTGTACAGGGGATTGTTGTTCTTCTCCACTTCATCAGGGGCCACCAGGGCCATGGGCAGGAGGGGGATGATGAGGACCTCCTGCATGGAGGCCGAGGGTGGGTGAGCCAGGCATCCTTCCACTCCAGTGGAGAACAGAGCCCACACAGGGCAGTGACACCTTCCCACACCCTATCAGCTCCACACAGCCCCAGGGAAAGTGCTGACCTCGCCCCAACCTAAGAGGGGCCAGGCCAGGACTCACGCCGGGCGCCTGATCGTTCTTGAGATCCACGTTAGTCCGGGAGTCAGGGAAGTCATCCAGCGACAGGAACTGGAGGGAGACAGCAGCTCATGGGGGCCGAGCCCAGGCAAACACACAGTGGGCGGGGGCCACGTGCCCAAGAAACTCACCTCATTCTCTGCCTCCTGGGGGGCCCCAGAGCTGGCATCCCCATTGGCCCTGTCCTCCTGCACCGAAGAGAGCTGCTTGGCCCGCCTGAGAGAGAAAAGTATCCCATGGGCATCCCAGAAGCTGCGGGGGCCTCCCTGGCCACATGCAGGGCAGCACAGTGAGTGGCTCCAGAACTCACCTCTTTCCAGAGATGAAATCAAGGGCCTGGTAGACGAGTGAGTAGAGGTATTCCACCTGGTGACCAGACGCAGGCAGTGAGGACCCAGAAAGGAGGGGCCCACCCCCAAGGCCTTCCCAGCGGTGCCCTCCACGAGGCCTGGCCACTACCACCAAACCTCCAGTACAAGAAACCACCAATTTTGGTTCCAAAACTAATTCTCAAATCAAACCACGAATCTCATGAGAATTACTTTACCAGCTGAGGCCACCCACATCTCTCCCCTGCCTGCTATGTTCCACGCAGCCGCCACGCATGGCCTTCTCAACGGGTGACCTTGACGGCAGTGTGGTGCCCACAGTATGCCTCACACAGCCCTTGGTGGCCAGGCCCCTCGTGCTTGGCACCCACTCTGCCGATGGCCTGTAGCCCTGCTGCTCCTCCGCCCATGTGCTCCTGCCAGCATCACCCTAGTTCCTCCTCCTCATGTCCTGGCCCTGCCCTGTCCCAGCTCCAGCCACCACGGGGCCTGCAGGACACAGTCCTTCACCCACTTCCTGTCCTCCTCCTCCACAGAACCATGAGGGTAGTGGCTGCGGATTTTTGAGGTGCTGACAATGAAGCACCCACAAGTAGAGAATGGGGAAGGGTAAGGTGGGTGCATGGGGCACCCTGGACTGTGCCCAAGTGCACACAGCAGGTGTCATTCCCCCAAGACAACAGAGCCCAACAGCACACAAGACTCTCCCTGCCTGGCTGTGCGATTTAAAATTAAAAAGAGTTCTTGGTGTTGGAAGGTGCCGAGGAAGTGGCTGAGACCTGAGGAGAGAGGGAGGTAGGTCACAGACGGGATGACCACTGCGCCTGCCCCAGAAAAACTGACTGCGGTCCCACTGGCCACCGAAATGCCAAGACCAGCGTCAAGCAGGGCCCACCTTCTTACTGTAGACGCAGGCAGAGCCCTGGATCAACAACGCTGCCTCAATGAAGTTCATTGTGGTCTTGCCTTCGTCAAAAGAAATGCAGATCTGATCCAGCTGCAAGAAACAACACAAGGGCGGGGGAATCCAAGGCCCAGTCTGCACTTGCTGCTTCCAGGGCAGCCCCACCCATCATTGGTCTCTGCCCAGCACCTCCTGAGACGGGTAGCGCGAGCTCTGCTGTGGGCTCCCCGGTTGTCCCTGGTATTTGGGTGGATAGACAGGTCTCCGTGTTTCCTCCTACTTCCTATAACAAAAACCTGTTTTGGAAGTGGAAGGCCCCCAGGGCACACTGTCTGCAAACAACCAGGGCAGCACAGTGGCTCACTCCACTAGGCGCCGCCTCCACAAGGCGCCATAAGCTGACAGGCTCCAGCAGGAAGACCCCTGACACAGAGAAGAAAAGGAAACCTCAGGGGTAGGAAAAGCAGAGACAAAATGCTGAGGTTTCCATCCTTTGGGCAGAGAACTGAGGAAACAGTTACGGATTAGTCATTATCCTTCCTCTGCCCCCCTCAGCCTCCCGGAGCCCCAGCTCCTGTCACCCCTTAAATGTCAGTGTCCCAGGCATTCCACCCTCAGCCTCTCTTCTTCCCATGCAGCCCCCGCCATGCACATTCCTTCATCCCATGCCCAAGCTGCCAACCATGAGCCAACGAGCCCCAAACCCATCCTGACCAGCTCTCTCCTCAACTCTGGGGCTGCATTCACAGCTGGCTGCAGAGTACATTCAAATGTTCCCAAACACTTCACTTCCATACTTAACCCAAGATCCTCCCCAACGCTGGGTCATCTGTATTCCTTCTCAGCAAACGACACTTAGAAAAAACAAAAGGCCAGGCGCGGTGGCTCAAGCCTGTAATCCCAGCACTTTAGGAGGCTGAGGCAGGCAGATCATGAGGTCACGAGATCGAGACCATCGTGGCTAACACGGTGAAACTCCATCTCTACTAAAAATACAAAAAATGAGCCGGGCGTGGTGGCGGGCGCCTGTAGTCCCAGCTACTCGAGAGGCTGAGGCAGGAGAATGGCGTGAACCCCGGAGGCAGAGCTTGCAGTGAGCCGAGATCGCGCCACTGCACTCCAGCCTGAGCCGAAAGAGCCAAGACTCTCGCTAAAAAAAAAAAAAAAAAAAGCCGGGCGCAGTGGCTCAGGCCTGTAATCTCAGCACTTGGAAGGCCGAGGCGGGCAGATCATGAGGTCAGGGAGATTGAGGACATCCTGGCTAACACAGTGAAACCCTGTCTCTACCTAAAACCTACCAAAAAATTAGCCGGGAGTGGTGGGGGGCGCCAGTAGTCCCAGCTACTCAGCTACTCGGGAGGCTGAGGGAGGAGAATGGCGTGAACCCAAGAGGCGGAGCTTGCAGTAAGCGGAGATCGTGCCACTGCACTCCAGCCTGGGCGAGTACATTCAAATGTCCCCAAACACTTTACTTCCATACTTAACCCAAGATCTTCCCCAACGCTGTGGCTCGTTGGTATTCCTTCTCAGCAAATGACACTCAAACAAAACAAAACAAAACAGGCTGGTATGGCGGCTTTGAGCGAGACTCCGTCTCAAAAAAAAAGAGGCCGGGCGAGGTGGCTCACGCCTGTAATCCCAGCACTTTGGGAGGCCGAGGCGGGCGGATCACAAGGGCAGGAGATCGAGACCATGGTGAAACCCCGTCTCTACTAAAAATAGAAAAAATTAGCCGGGCGCAGTGGTGGGCGCCTGTAGTCCCAGCTACTCGGGAGGCTGAGGCAGGAGAATGGCGTGAACCCGGGAGGCGGAGCTTGCAGTGAGCCGAGATTGCGCCACTGCACTCCAGCCTGGGCGACAGAGCAAGACTCCGTCTCAAAAAAAAAAAAAAAAAAAAAGTTTTTGTAGAGACAGGGTCTCTCTGTTGCCCAGGCTGGTCTCAAACTCCTGGCCTCCAGCGATCCTCCTGCCTCAGCCTCCCAAAGCACGGGGATCACAGGCATGCGCCACCACGCCCAGCCACAAACGACACTTTGAAGCCCCTGTGTGTCTTTCCAGCTCTTCAATTTTGCATTTCCATCTGCCTGGAATGCCCACCCCCAACTGTCCCCATGCAAACTCTTTTTCAGAGCCCCTCCATTCCTGGGGCCTCCGTGCAGCTCCATTAGTGTGATCGTGTCCCTTAGTGAACTGTGAGCAGCATTAGTGTAATTCCAGCCTTCTGTTCAGTGCCCGACCCCGGTGCCCAGTAAATATCTGATTAACACATGCATAGGTAATGTCAAAGCTAAGCCTGGAAAACGAAGAGGCTCACCAGACAGATGAAGGGAACATGAAGGCAGCTAGCTGAGACTGGACACATCTCTTCAGGAAAATGAGCATGATCTAAACATGGCCAAAGCATGCAGTGTGCTGGGGAGAGGCAAGATTTCGGGCACCATGGTAGCACGAAGAGGTGGAAAGGCTGGGAAGCCGTCCCCAAGGGGAGTCACTTCCATAGCTCTTGAAGGATAAAGGGTGTTTGTCGGATCTGGGAGGAAGGGAGAGGAAACAGCAGCATGGCTGTCTATGGAGTGTGAGGACCCTGGGGGTGTTCAGGACCTGAAGAGCTGGCCCAGAAAGAAGGGAACATGGAGGAGATGGCGGCCTGGAAGCCGAGCTGCAGAGGTGGCCCTTCTCTCCAGTGACCCTCAGCCCGGCCGGCTTGCCCACTCTCAGGACACCGGGCCTCATTTGTCTTCTCACCTCCGCAGGTTGGACCTGCCATCTGAGCCCAAACCCACACGTCCAGCTGCCTTCTTCAAACATTGCTTGGATGTCTTCACCAAGATTCACACTGAATGCATCCACACTGAACTCCAGATACCCCCCAACCCACCTGCCCAGAAACCCAGGGGTTCCTCTCCATAGTCACCCCCATTCTGGCCCCACCACCTCCCCTTTTGCTTCTGCACTGACAGGGCTCCTCCTGCCCTTCGCTCCCCTCACATCCACTCTCCACACTCTGCTCAGTGCCTCTGTTTAGGATTTTGAGTTTTTCCTAAGAGTGGTAGGAAAAACCCAAAATCTTAAATGGAGCCGGAGGGAGGCCTCCATGCTGGCCAGCCTCCCTCTCCAGCTGCCTGCCCTCCTCTGCTCTGTACTCCCAACTCAGAACCTTCCGTTTTGTTTCGTTTTGTTTTTTGAGACAGAGTCTTACTCTGTCACCCAAGCTGGAATGCAGGGGTGCAATCTCAGCTCACTGCCACCTTCCCCTCCCGGGTTCAAGTAATTCTCCCTGCCTGAGCTTCCTGAGTAGCTGGACTTATAGGCACCCGGCTAATTTTTGTAAAAACTCCAAACCTGCCAACGCCAGGTTTCCTCCACCCGGAACATTCTTTAGCTCACCATAATTAAGCAACTACTTTCATCCGAAACTAGGTCTCCCAAACTCTCCATAGGACCATATATTTTCTTTCAAATCTCTCGTAAGTTTCTGCTGTTTTTTTGTTTGTTTTTTTGAGATGGAGTCTCACTCTGTTGTCCAGGCTGGAGTGCAGTGGCACGATCTTGGCTCACTGCAACCCCTGCCTCCCAGGTTCAAGCGATTTTCCTGCCTCAGCCTACCAAGTAACTGGGACTACAGGTATGTACCACCATACCCGGCTAATTTTTTGTATTTTTAGTAGAAACAGGTTTTCACCATGTTAGTCAGGCTGGTCTCGAACTCCTAACCTCAAATGATCCACCTGCCTTGGCCTCCCAAAGTACTAGGATTACAGGCGTGAGCCACCATGCCTGGCCATCAGTTTCTGACTACACAAAGTCACCCGCAGCGGCGGAGGATGGATTCTGATCTGCCACTAACCACTGATCATTCAGGGCACATCTCTACTGCCTCTACTAACAGGGTTTTTGTGAGGACTCCGCATTCATATGTGTAAAGCACATAAAACAGGTGCTTAACACAAGCAAGCACCAAATGTGTATTTATTATACCTCCATGCGGTTACTCTGTTGGGCCCGTCTTCCCATGACAGTGGGGGCCCTGGCATAGTGAGGGTTATCATTTGCTTTGCTTGGCACTATTTTTTCAAAGTTTAACATGGTTCTTGGCACACAATTCACAACTAACAACCATGAATAAATAAATGGATAAAAGAGGGTAGGATCACGACAGTATTAGAAAAAGAACATTCTGGCCAGTGCAGTGGCTCACACCTATAATTCCAGCACTCTGGGAGGCCAAGGTAGGTGGATCGCTTGAGCTGGGAGTTTGAGAACAGCCTGGGCAACACAGTGACACCCCATCTCTATCAAAAATACAAAAAATTAGCCGTGCAGTGGCACGTGCCTGCAGTCCCAGCTACTTGGGAGATGGGAGGATCACTTGAGCCTGGAAGGTCAAGGCTGCAGTGAGCCATGATTGCACCACTGCACTCTAGCCTGGGCAACAGGGCAAGACCCTATCTAAAAACAAAAAACAAAAAACAACAAAAAAGAAAAAGAACATCGTGGTAGTGTGTGAAAAATGAAAGAAGGAGAGATAATACTAGAAACCAGGAAATGAGGACTTCAAGCAGCAGAGGTTTGGAAGAGCAGACACAAGAAAGCAGGAAGGGAGCTGACCAAGCCAGCAAGGAGATTTACCAAGTGAACAGGTGTCCCCATGGACCCTGCTTGATCTGAAAACCTGAATCCACAGGAGCTCTGCCCAGCACAGTTTCCTGTATTTTCTCAGCCAACTATGCATCAGAGCAGAGAAGTTCAGTCATCAGACACATGTGCATTTAACAAATACTTTAACATCCACATCTACGTGCCAGGCACTCTACTAAACAGAGAAAAGAGAGCATAAGCATGGTCCCTGCCCTGGCAGAATTCACATTCTAGGTGGAGACAGGCCACAAACAGGTTGAGTTGAAGAATGGCTTGTGGCCAGGCGCAGTGGCTCACACCTGCAATCTCAGCACTTTGGGAGGCTGAGGTGGGCGGATCACGAGGTCAGGAGTTGGAGGCCAGCCTGGCCAACATGGTGAAACCCCGTCTCTATGAAAAATACAAAAATTAGCCGGGCGTGGTGGCAGGCGCCTGTAATCCCGGCTACTCGAGACTGAGGCAGGAGAATCGCTTGAACCCAGAAGATGGAGGCTACAGCGGGCCGAGATTGCGTCACTGCACTCCAGCCTGGGTGACAGAGTGACAGTCTGCCTCAAAAAAATAAACATATAAATAAAATTTTTTTTGGCTGGGCGCGGTGACTCATGCCTATAATCCTAGCACTCTAGGAGGCCAACACAGGTGGATCACGAGGTCAGGAGATCAAGACCATCCCGGCTAACACGGTGAAACCCCGTCTCTACTAAAAATACAAAAAATTAGCCGGGTGTGGTGGCAGGTGCCTGCAGTCCCAGCTACTCAGGAGGCTGAGGCAGGAGAATGACGTGAACCCAGGAGGCGGAGTTTGCAGTGAGCCGAGATCACGCCACTGCACTCCAGCCTGGGTGACAGAGCAAGACTCTGTCTCAAAAAAAAAAAAAAAAATTTTTTTTTAAAAATGGCTTATGATAAACATTCTAAAGTATATAAGGTGCTGAGATGGAGAGAACTATTTTAGATAGGGTGGTCAGCTGACATTTACACTAAGATCTAAAGAATGAAAAGGACTCAGTCAGCCAGGTGTGGTGGCTCACGTCTGTAATCCCAGCACTTTGGAAAGAGGCAGAGCTGGGTGGATCACCTGAGGTCAGGAGTACAAGCCCGCCTGGCCAATGTGGCGAAACCCGTTTCTATCAAAAATACAAAAATTAGCAGGGCATGGTGGTGCATGCCCGTAATCCCAGCTACTCGGGAAGCTGAGGCAGGAGAATCACTTGAACCCGGGAGGCGGAGGTTGCAGTGAGCCAAGACTGTGCCACTGTACTCCAGCCTGGGCAATAGAGCAAGACTCCATCTCAAAAAAAAAAAAAAGAAAAAGAAAAGAAAAGAAAAAAAGAAAAAAGAAAACAGACTCAGTCATTAAAAGAATATTCCCAGTCAGGTGTGGTGGTGCACACCTGTAGTCCCAGCTACCTGAGAAGCTGAGGCAGGAGGACTGCTTGAGCACAGCAGTTTGAGACCAGCCTGGGCAACATAGTAAGATCCTCCTCTCTGATTTTTTTTCTTCTTGTCCTTGCCACATGAAGTCTCTCTTCAGTTAAAAACAAAAAAGAGGCTGGGCACGGTGGCTCACGCCTGTAATCCCAGCACTTTGGATGGCTGAGGCGGGTGGATCACGAGGTCAGGAGATCGAGACCACGGCGAAAACCCGTCTCTACTAAAAATACAAAAAATTAGCCTGGCGTGGTGGCGGTGCCTGTAGTCCCAGCTACTCTGGAGGCTGAGGCAGAATGGCGTGAACCCGGGAGGCGGAGCTTGCAGTGAGCCGAGATCACACCACTGCACTCCCGCCTGGGCGACAGAGCAAGACTCCATCTCGCAAAAAAATAAAATAAAATAAAAAATAAAAACAAAAAAGAACATTCCCAAGTGGAGCAGAGAGCATGAAGACCTTCCACCAAGAAAAAGCTTGGGGTGCCATAAGTTGACTGGTTCAAAAGAAGATACAAAATAGCCCAAAATGAGGCTAAAACGGGGAGCAGAGCCAGGTTCAGGGGAGGAAATTTGGGTTTTATTCTGAGCGTAACGGAAAGCCACTGAGGGGTTTTAGGCAGAAAACAGTGCTGTGGCTGGATTTTAATTTTTAAGGGTCATACTTGCTGCTGGTTGGAGCACGAATCGGAAAGGGACAAAAATAGGGATAAGGGAACCCAAATAGGAAGGTTTTACACAGATCCAGGCCAGAGACAATGGTGGCCTAGACCAGATAAAGTGGAGAACAGATGAATTCAAGTGATATTCTGGTGGTATAACTGATGGAATTCATGGGTGAACTGGGTGTTAAGCGTGGGGCTTCACTATAGTCACATTCAGCTTTTGCCTTTGAACAGTGGTGCCATTTTCCGAGATGGGAAAGGCTGAGGTTTAAGCAGAAAAATGAAGAGTTCCACTTTAAATATGTTAAATGAGATGTTTATGTAACACCCAGTAGATGTCAAGAGAGCAACTGGATATGTAAAGTAGATCTGGAAGAAAGACCTGGGATAGATGGAGCTGCAGATCTGGTAGTTGTCCTAATACAGGCGATATTTAAAAATCATAGAAATAAATGACACTGTTCAGGGGAAATGCATCAGAAGATCACCCAGGCCCTGTCCTGAGGAACTCAACACTTAGAGACTAGATAGAAGAAAAAAAGCAGACAATAAAATAGGGAAAAAATCTTACTACTATGTTTCAAAAAGGAAGGAGTAGCCAGTCCAACAAATGCTGATTTGAGTAAGAGAACACTTCCAGTGTTCCATAGATTGGGTAGGATGGAGATCACTGTTGATCAAAACAAGAAACATTTAAGTGTGGTGGACGCCAGACTGAGCTGGACTGAGGAGTGAAAATGACGTGCAGATACGGAGCAGACAGCTTAACAGAGGTCTAGACAGGGCTGTCAAATATGGAAGAAACACTAATCGCTAACAGAATGGAGCACAGCAATAGCCTGAAATTGGTTTGAAAATCCAAGATAAAAAATCCCTCTGACGTCGTGATCCAGACCTCTCAAACACACAAGCATGCTCTTAATAACTGCAACAAAAGCAATAACGCTTTCTAGACTATTCCACTGCGTTGGGGAAACGGCTGGTCACCACCCACTCAATCATTCACACGGTTCGCTGACGGGTAGACACCTGCAATGACAGCTCCACGCTAATCTAACAAGGGATGATTTGGGGAGGCAGAGATGGATTTTAAAAAGAAGCAGGGAGCCCGAAGACCAGCGAGGCCAGAGCGCCAGATGGCCATAAGCGTGGAGGCTGCGGGACGCCCACAGCCCCGGGCCCGGAGCCCCCGCCCCGCAGCCCCACCCGCCGGCCCACCCCGCGCCACTCCCCCACCACCCTCACCTCCTCCAGATACTCGCCCAGCTGGGCCGCCACGTCCACCTCCCAGTTCTTGGTGAGATCGCGGATGGGCTGCAAGAGGTGAGCGAAGCGCGCCTCCACGTCCTCCATGTCCGGGAGGGAACGGGCGGCAAAGGGACCGTAGGGCTGCCTTCCGAGGGGTACGGCGTCCTCAGCCCGCCACTAGTTCTGGCGCCATTTTGCTGTTCCCGCCCAGGAAAATGCGTAGGCGCGGCGTCGCGCGCATGTCTATGACGTAACGG